AAATAGAACCAAAAACATTTTATGATTACGGAGCAGTAGATGATCAGTAAAAATATTTTGCGTAGCTAAGTTTTATTGAACTTGAAAATAAGCACCTGACCATTCAAATGATTGAGCTTTTCCAAACTCTATGAAGAGATCGATGAACGCGTTTCACCATATTCAATGTTAACTTAAATTACCGAAATTTGGTGTAAGTTCAGCATTGTTTACCAAGCTATTATTCCCTTTGAAACCAAAGTTAAATTACCAGCCTCTTTCTTAAGGAGGCTCGCATCTTATCACTTACCTGTTTATCTGTTGGTTTGTTAATTTCACGAAAGATATTTGATAGCAATCCGTCAGTCCAATCTCTCGAATTCGGGTCCAATACACCGTACAATTCAATCACGCTACGATCTTTTGGATTCAGTGTGTACAACTTTGTCGTAACACCCAAATGTGTCTGTGCATTGCATAATGCCTCGATCACCACGGATTTCCCACCCCCGGTTGGACCAACCACCATGGTGGTATGACGTGTTTTCATTGTCTCGTACAATTGAACCACTTTATCCGCCTGTGTGGCATTCGCCGTGTACCCTTTACGCTCGAGCATCAATTCAACAGCATCATTAAAGTCTGGATATCGAACGCGGGGACAATCCAATCCAGGGAATAGATCTTGAATAAGCGCCAGGAATAACGGAGTATCCTCAAAGATAAATTTGGGCAAATTCATATCCCGTAGAGCTCGCATCAGGACCATTTCTTCCGACAATTCCGGTGCATTTCGGCGCAAATCCCCGGCCATGACTAAGACGGATTTTAGCGCGCGCAGACCGAAATCGTAGTGACACTGTTTCGATAGCTGTTCACGTGCTAACTTGTACAAGGTGGTCATCTTTTTGGCGAGTAATTTGGCCGTGAGGAAACCTTGAGAGAACAGCATGATTTCACAAATCTGCTGTAGATCCGGAACAATCACTACCACAGGCCTGAACAGAGCCTTGACCGATTCCGGCAGTTCCGTGCGTCCAGCATAGCCCGGATTCATCGTGATAAATACCCCAACTCGACTGTCTAAATTGATTTCGATACCTTCGAACAGGAATCGTTTGACTTGATTGATCAATGCTGTTTGAATGACCTTGAGTTGAGTAGAGATGACCGAGAGCACGGAAGCCTCGATCCGATTGAATTCATCAAAACATCCCCAAGCACCGCATTGGCAAAGACCGGACAGTATCTTACCTACCGCCTTGTAATCCATTCCCTCACCACAATTGGTGACCATGCACAACAATCCAAGAGCTTTGGCCAAATCCTTCGTGGTCTCCGTTTTACCCGTGCCCGCTGGTCCAGCTGGTGCACCACCCATGTACATTGACAGAGCTTGAGTCAAGGTCAAATAGATGCGATCTGTTAGAGGAGTGATCACCAAACGACCGTTCAAGCCCATATATTCGTAACCGTAGTAGAATTCGCCTGTACACTGACGAATTACCAGTTCATCCACGGTCTTATTCCAGTAGAAACGGAGTTGCGATTCCCACGCGAATTCTTGCGAGTCCATCACACTGTCTCGGACAAAATCGGCCACAATATCCCGAGCGTGCACATCGATAGTGAGCACGGTGGTCAGTTTATTACGATCATTTTTACTCAGTGGATTACGTATTTTCACCACAATCTCATCCAATTGTCGCTGAAGCATTTGCGAGTAGTCTTTCATAGCATTTTTTTGACCACTGGCAATTTTACGAAACACATCCTCAATTTCCCAAGTCCACCAGATTTGGTTTGAGGCCAATACAACCATTCCTTGATAGTTGAACATCCAATCGACACTAAGAGCGAATAGGGTAGGGTGTTGAAAATATGTAAGGAAAAAAGTCGAATGAATAATATTTTCGATGCGAAAACAAAAAAGGAACGATCAATGAAAACAGAATCATTTCTACTGAATTACCTAACCAAGCACAAAAATTTCCGAGATCAGTGCTCACAGTTTCTTTTTCACTCACTCAACTGTGATTCAATTGTTCCAACATCTGTTTCAATCTACACTTTTCGCGATTCTTTGAGAAGCCCTCTTGATGTTCCGACGAGGAGCAGTAAAATAAACTACAAGGGAGGGAGGAGGAATTCTACAATTGGGTAAGATATCCTTTTTAATAAGCTCTGGCTATCCCATGGGTTTATTTATTTACTTGTTCTTAGAGAATAAAGTATACCGGCCTCCGAGTTGGTACAACTACCCAACCTCCCTAGGTCGAACCTGTGACACCTGTGACCAATTCTCAAGGAAGCCCATTTCGAAACAGTAAATAATAAAAGCCCCAATTTATGACACAACCTAGACACCCTTCCCTTAAGAACCCAAATCCGTAACTTATTATATGTATTGTATTGTGTTGGAATTAGTGTTGAACAATGAGATGATTTGGTTTACCAATTCTTGTTCGTAGTTTGTGTGCTATTTAGACAAATTAACTGTGTATTTCTAATTGTTTCAAATGAGTGACGGAGGATTTGCTTCAATTTAAAAGATTAATTCGTCGTGTATGTAGGAAATGAAGCGTTAATTGAAAAGCTAGGAAGCACTGGATAGCTGTTTCGACCTGGTTGGGTCTCATCAGCGGTGCTAATCCATCGAACCTATTGGGGATCGCACCCAGGAACTCACAGGCAGAACGCAAGCGTACTATCCACTCGGCCACCGGGCAGCTGATCACACCGTTTTTCATTTTCCATTTACACAATACAACACAACCCATCTTTGCGAGCTTATTGCAGGCCACAGACCCTGCTCATCTCAGCACTATCCTCTGGGGTGATGACTCGGTTGGAAACACTCGCAAGCTGAATATTTATTTCAAATGAGTAACGGAGGGTCCCCAGTTGGGTCGATGGATTCGCACTGCTGATGAGACCCAACCAGGTCGAAACAGCCGTCCAGTGCTTCTTAGCTTTTCAGTTCACGCTTCATTTGCCATTTACACGACGAATTTCCACTTTGAAAGATCTCTCTCTATATATACGTTTGTATCCGTTAGCCAAGATCTCCTCTAGTCTTCAAGTGAACCGTATTAGTGACATTTCAGCCTGTTGGCCATTTAAATCTTGTGGTCGGCGACCGATAAGGAACAATGTAAGTCTAACTATGCGAATGTATATTATGCTTCCCTAGTTTGAATTCACTGTGATCAATGGTTGAAGACACTGAGTGAGCGCGTCGTAAACAGTGACGCTCGCGCATCTTCTCAATTTCTTCACAACCTTAGTCTACTGGAATCCTCCATTTTCTCTTCTACCCTAATTTTAATTGCCCACTCTTTTTTGAACCCCTTCAACTAAATGGGCAACCAAAAGACAGCAACCAAAACCACTGTGCGAAAAAGCATGGGTAACGGTTGAATAAAATGAAACTGAAACTGGTCTGAGTTCTGACTAAGTGTCAAACAGACTATCGTAGGAGCATATGGACGACAAGTAAACTAATGATTAAGTAATATGTAAGTTTTTTAGACCACTGCATGTTTGGAAACGAATTCAAGTCCAATGAGACTCGAACCCTTTGGTTTTAAAAATTATAGGCATCTAATTAGGCGATTAAAGCTCAGTTAGTAACGGTGACAGAGGAGAGCAAACAGAGGAAACGAATATGACAAAGCTAATGATAATCGTGGAGGGGGTGAGAGGACAAAGGTCAAGTGGCAAGCATTAGAGAGATTGGTGGATTAAAATGAAGGTTGTGAGCTAAGACGAGAGAGCGGGATGGGGTTACATAAGATACGATGAGATACGGATTCCTTCAAAACTATTCACGCTATACCCAGGAGATATTCCAAGGGAATAAGAAGGCGCCCTTTAACCACGGCCCGAGGCGATTGCAATTCAGTTTTTCAATCCAGAGTTATGCAAGCAAAAAATGCTGGTCCAGACACTGTTGTTGCTCTGGCCTGGACAACGAATTGATTGTACATAAAACAGAACATCAAACCCTCCTCCCTACCCCACCCTTCATTCAGTATCATCAACCACAATCTAAAGAACTATTTTATTTTTGTCTCCAGTGTCCCTTCCCGATTATATCACTTGCTAGGCATGACATATAGTTTCTACCGTATCTTAAGTAACTTCATCCCGCTCTTTCGTCTTAGCTCATAACCTTCATTTTAATCCAACCATCTCTTTAACGTTTGCAATTTGATCTTTGTCCTCTCACCCCCTCCACGATTATCATTAGCCTTGACATATTCGTTTGTTCTGTTTGCTGTCCTCGTTACCAACTGAGTTTTAATAAATGTGTCAATTACTAATTAAATTTGCTTATGTTCTTCTGGTTGCACATTAGCAGCGAATTTCACCAATCAAGTTATATGTAAATGGCTCTTACCGTGACGTGGACGAACGGTAGTAGAAAACGGCTTCCTTTGTAATCAGACGATTTGTGCGCTTCATTTCCGCCTCAACACTAGTCATCCATTGTTCCACATTCCCTCGCACGAGCTGCGCGCCACGAAATTCCATCACCTCACCCTCACTGGAAATCATGGCAGTCACTTCAGTTAAAATGGTGCCGGGTTTCGTGGTATCTTTGCTGAATCGGACCGAGGCGATATTGTCAAACATCTATGCGTAAAGTGGGAGAATTCGTCACATATGAAATGGTGTCATATGACCATCGATAATGTTATTGAATAAGATTGAGTGATTTGATGTCATTGCATAAGTTTCATTCAGCATTGAAAAAAACTTGAAAACATCGTGAAATCATTTCTTGCTTAGTAAATTGCACACTTATCCTCGATAATTCATTCGGACTGACCCAGCGGCAGAGGGCCGGTGATTGATCACGTCCAAGCAACAAGTCAGGTAAAAACTGGAACAATCCAGTATGAGCAATCACTGCATAGGTTAATGATAGTGTTGAGAAATCATTGTCTTATATTCGTTGGTTTGATTGAGTTTGCCATTATAAAAACAGCGTCAAAATTGTATTGCAACGATTTCCGACGTTCTGTGCCATGGGCGACATGTTCTTTTTGAAAATAAGCAAGTGTAACAACGTGATAATAAAAGTTATAGTATTATAGTAAATAATAATCAATATTAATTAATTGATAAATAGTAATGATGGCTTCGTCATACTTAGAGGACAATGTAGATTTAGGTAACTAGCAGGTAAATTGGCTGGTACATTCTATATAGGTCGTGAATATTACAGGTATTTGTAACGTTAGCTTCGCAGCTCTTTTCCATTTATAAACTGACTGAGTATTGCAGCGAACGAGATGGTTAGCAAATTTTCTAACAGCAGAATTCACCTTAATCATATGCTCTTGTACACATTCACAGTCCCCCGAGCCCAGGATGCTCAACAGTTCGTCGTCTGAGATGAAGAAAAAGCGCGGAAAAGCGTTTCGTTTGGAATCCAAATAATTGTTCAACGACTTTTGACACTTTTCCAATCCTTCACTCAGTGCGACCAACTCTTCTTTACGACCGGGTACTAAGCAAGTATTTTTCACCACAGGTGAACTGGCCGTGTCGTTCATGATCTGGAATGATGCGGGATGTCAAATAGAGAAATTAGTGTAGGGCAACAAATAATCTGTTTTTGAATCAGGGTGTTAGGAAACAAAGTGAGGGAATGAAGTCAAAGATCCAAGATAGACTTATCTGAACTCGAAAATTTGGCATTTCCCCACACCCAGTAAACAATTCACCGGTTCAACAGAATATCACAATAATATATCAAACATTTTGTTCGAAATAACGTACGTGACATGATAAAAGTGCTTTTCAGTTACCCACCAAGCTATTGAATGGTTTTGGTTGGAATGAGTAGTCTAGTCGAGCCAATATTGTAGGGCATTGTAGGGCTGGATGGCATATTGTCGATGAGAGTTTTCGGTTGATATATTCAACAGAAAATCTAAGCACACATCGGAGAACTATGTTCTTCTTTGACACTGAACTAATGTTTATAAAAGAATCTTATTTACCAAATACAGTGGATTTCCTCTATGAGCACAAAGAGAAATTGGAAATTAACGCAAATGAAAACTGTTGAGACACTGTATACTTTACGTTCAATGTCTTCTCAACATTAAAAAGAGGACGAGACTATCATCATTGTATCTATTGTAGGGTTAAATATATTTATATGCACGTGATCAAAAGCGCGAAGATAGGTCTATCCAATTAAGAACTCTTCGACGGAAAACACGGAAGGAACACACGAACCTTTATAGGTTTGTTCTGGTTGCTTGATCGTTCACTTTCGACGTCTACCGTACTTGACTAACAAATATTTTGGAAACTGAGTTGAACTTAATTCAATAGACTCGGTCAATAAACGTCTAACGTGTTAGATTTACGGTGCACAATAAGCAGTGGACCTCGAGTATGGCTTGACTCAAATACGTCCGGAAGAAATAGTACTTCTGAAAACTCTGATCGACATTAATAGAGGAGGAAAATCAACGGATCTATCCGTTGTGAAGCAACTCGCATAGGTTATACGGCTAAGTAGCTGGCCAAATTTGCGAAAGTTTCTAGAAATGGTGTAGGCAGAACATATAACTGCATTCTTAGCTAATTATTTGGAAGTGATAGCACGATCTGCCTGGTGAACACGTTCGATATTGGCTATGGGGCCCGTCTAAGTGATCCCGGCTGTGAACTTTAGTTACAGTAGAAGGTACGACTGTTATGATATGGACCGACTATCTTTCAGACTTCACATTCACACGCAACCCCAAGTTCATCTAGTCAACCATAAACTCGCGAAACACTAGGCTCGAGTTTCGCTCTCCTTAGAGCGCACAAGAAGTACGTGGTCCATATCAGTATAACTTATCCCGCACCACTACTCAAAAGTAACTGTGAGTTGAATTCGTATTATTATTTGTTTATTAGACCCACATGTACTTAAAAAAGGATCTATGCAGTTATAATGGCCTGACTCTGTTTAAGTAGAACAACAGATCAAACGGATCCCAGAAATATTAACTGTAAGGTTTATTCTTTCACTGTCTGCGTCTTTACTGTAA